AACAAAGAAGAAAAAGAAAAACAGTGCAGCAAAACCAAACCACTGAAAAAGTCTGACATTATATGTAGCATTCTACATCCATGTAAAGAAGGTGGAGGAGGGGAAACTGTCTTCTCATAACTCTTCTTTGGGGCCAAATTTGGTCATTATAATTTCTATAACATTCAGATTCAATTGTTTCATTGACATTGTAAAAACAGTTTTACTGGTTCTGCTCACTTCATTTTGCAGAAGTTTATATGTTTTCCCAGGCCTCTCTGCACCCATCACATTGATCATTTCTTACAGCACAATAATAGTCTCTTACATGTTTCTTAATTATATTCCTTTCAGTTCTTTATTGTGTGTTATCTTGGGTTATTCTCTGGTTGTTCCATGTTTAATCACTTCACGTATATCTTTCTTGTCTTCCTCATAAGAACTGCAAGCTTCTTTAGGACAGAAGGTTCCCCGCAGCCTACAAATATGTAGTGGTTACTCAATAATGACATTCAATTGAAGAATGAATGGTAAAATCTAATGTTATAGCTGCTTTCAGAGTCAACTGGCCAATATGACAACAGGAAGAATGAGTGAATTTGGTTTGTTTATCAAACTTCTGGGGTAACAGTAACTTTGAACAGGAAAAAAGTCTCCAGAAATCACCCTTTGTCTACCACCATCTGAACATAGCTGCCTCCCCTTTAGGAGAGGGCAGGGATGATGAGGAAGACGTAGCTGTAAGTCATCTAATGATCAGGGAAGTGAGGCTAGCCCTGAATGTTGTTTCTTGTTCAGTCGTTTCAGTCATGTCTGACTCTCCGTGACCCCACTTAGGGTTTTCTTGACAGAGATATGAGTGGTTTTCCATTTCCTTCTCCGGCTCATTTTACAGATGAGGAAACTGAGGCAAACAAGGTTAGGCGACTTGCCCAGGGTCATCCAGCTAGTAAGTGTCTGAGGCCAGATTTGAACTCAGAAAGATCAGTCTTCCTGACTCTAGGTATAGCACTCTATCCACTGCACCACCTACCTGTCCCTAGCCCTGCAAGTTTTGGTTTAAAAAGTGGCAGGCACACAAACTTTAATCACTGAACATGACAAATGAGAAACCCTTGGTTCATGCTTGGGAACCTTTCTCTGAACCTGTTTACTGACACTTAGATTTGTCCTTCACTAACTGATTCTGCCTACCCCCCTCAGTTCCTATTGACTCCTCATAGCCACAGTGTGCTGACTTGAGTCTTTGCTCCTAGCCCTTCCCTGATTTTGTGTTTGACAACCAGAAAAGTAATGCCCCATCACAGCACACATTGCCTTACTTTTACAACCTGCCTGTTTTCCTCTAGGACTTCTCAGACTCTGTTAAATAACTACGCCTGTTCATCCATTAAATGAATGAATATACCACCTATCTCTATGCTCCACACCCTTCAGGACGCCTTACTCATAGCTGACCCCGCAGTACCATAGTGTGTGTACACTAAGAAAATCTCCCTCTGAGCTCTAGAAACCTCCCAGCCAGCCACCCCTTCTAATACTGCCCTGGGCTCCACCCCTAGGCAGGGATAAGGGGAATAAGATTATATTTATTCCAAAAGGGAGCAAATTAGCTGGTTGCAGAAAGACTGCATGCCATAGTGAAAAAAGCCAGGGTAGCCTATTTTCCAGACTTCTTTTCTTCAAAGTAAAGATGATTTTTCCTCCCATTGGATGTGTTCAATTTCAGGACTGAACTATCAGTATGGCAGAAGGGGAATGTGGACCGTTGCGTGGGAAGACTGAATATCCCATACGGCAACTTGAAATTTGTGGCCCTGGCCTCCATACCAGTGCGTCCCTCTAGTAGGAAGTCATGAGGCTCTCTTGATCATCCTGAATCATGTGACTCAAGCAACAAAGATTCTGAGGATGAAGTTTCTTGGGGCAGCCTAACATCTGGAGACAAAAATCTCCTAATACCACCTGAATGGGAATGAATCCATCGATCTCTAGGTAATTCACAGAAAGGTGGACTTTGCCCATTTGCATGCTTGCTTTAAAACTCAGTTGCTTGATTTTGACATTTGACTTGAAATTTTCCCATAGCCAAAGTCAAATGTTAAATAAAAGGATGGATGAATAAGAATATTTGCTTTAAAAACTGGACAGCACTTGAGGTCTAGACAGTATGTCTCCGACTTACCCAAAACTAAACTAGGGGTCAGCTGGGCAGACAGCAAAAGCAAATAGCTGCTGACTCCTAGGCAATAATAATTAAAAACAACAGTTTCTTGGACATTCATTTATGCAGCAAATGTTTGCTGAACACCTACTATGTGCTATTAATCAGGCCTATTCTAAAGACTTCCTGGATATCTGTTGGGAATATTGCCTTCCAAACTAGACATAACTAACCCACCGCTAGCCCTGAATCGGCTATGTGGATGACCTTCCCCAAATAAGTGATGGGTGCCACTGGGAACTTCAGATCAGATTCTTTTTGTTTCTTTGGTCAAAAATGTTCTTTGCGTCTCTGTCACTGTAATCTCTGGCATGATGGATCATAAGATTCCTAGAAATTGTCTAAACAGAATTCCTCACTCTCCCAGTGATTTGATAGGGACAGGACAACAGTCTCTCAAGAAGCAAAACCAGAAAAAAAAAAAAAAAGGGGCAGCATGGCAACACCATTTGATGTCAGAATGACTTGATTTACATTTTATTCTCTACTTTCTTCCTACCAGAGGGTAATTTTCAAAGTGGAAAGGATAGAATAAACACCAAAAGGAAGAAACTGAAACTCACCAAAATAAAAACTCACACATAGATAGTCCTTAAAATTCACACAGTATTCTCTTTATCACAGTCCTGGGGTGAAAGTCATACATGATATTAGCATCCCTCTTTTTTTTTTTTTGGCTAGGCAATGGGGTTAAGTGACTTGCCCAGGGTCACACAGCTAGCAAGTGTCAAGTGTCTGAGGCCAGATTTGAACTCAGGTCCTCCTGACTCCAGGGCCAATGCTCTATTCATTGTACCACCTAGCTGCCCTTAGCATCCCTCTCTTTGAAGACAAAGAAAATGAGATCCAGAGAGGTTAAATTATTTATTTGCCTATGGTTACCCAGCTAGTTTCAAGGGGCAGATATGAACCTAGATCTCCTCACTCTTTCTATTATACTAGGATATTCACTCCCAAGGCTTCCATCATCATCTCTGTATGAATGACTCTCAGATCTATCATACCCATGTTGACTTCTCCAACAAGCTCCATTCCTAGTCTATGAACATTGTGGTCACTTTCTTACATAATTTCAAATTGCTTTCTAGAATGGTTAGATCCATCTAGCGCTCTAACAATATATTAGTGTGCCTGTTTTTCCTCAAGCCCTCCAATGTCAGCTGTTTCCATTTTTGCCATCTTTGCCAATTTTCTGAGTGCAAAAGTGAGGCAAAACATCAGAATTGTTTAGATATGCATTGCGCTTACTATTTGTGATTTGGCACATCCTTCCATACGGTTATTAATAGTGTGCAATCCCTTCTTTTAAGCATTGCTTGTTTATATGCTTTGACCATATATCTACTGGGGAATGTTCTCTATTTTTATATATTTATTAGTTGACTGTATATATTGGAAATCATATCTTTACTGGAAACATGTGATAAGAATATTTTTCTCACATGGACATTTTAAAATTTTGTTAGTCTTTTCAAAGAAACACCTCCCTAGTCTGCTTTTCCAATTTATCTATTTTTCCTCTAATTTTAGCATTTTATCTTTTGTGCTTATTTTTTGGACTATCTAATCCATTAAAAAAATGTTTGTGTGCATTTTTAGATCACCTACATTTCCTAGTACATCCTCCCCTCTTCCCTTGTCAGTGTCATACCTTATAATAAAGAATAAAAAAAGGAGGAAAAATTTTAGCAAAAAAAGCCAACATATCAACCAAGTCCAACATTATATACAATATGGTCCATATCTCTGCAAAGAAGTCTCCACTCCATCCCACCACTTTTGCCAGAGTAATCTTCCTGATACACAGATCTGACAACATCATTCCTGTTTTTTTTTTTAATTTCTCAAAATTTAGTTCAGTGGTCCCCCATTACCTACCAAAAACAATACCAATTCCTTAGCCAATCATTTGAGGTCCTCCACGATTGGCTTCCATTTGCCTTTCCAGTACACTCATGCACCATTTCCCTCCTTATAGATTATGTTCCAGCCACAGCAGACAACTTACCATATCCCAATGGTTAGCGCTTTCCTGCCTTTAAGTAATTTACATGTGCTAGCCATTCTTTCTATCCCCACCACCCCCATGCTGGGATGCTTTCTGACTATATTCCCATCAGTTGACCTCTCCTCCAAAGTTCAGAGCAGATGTCTGCCTGTCATGAATCACCCAAATAGGTGATCTTTTCCTTCTCATACATTTCATACCATGTCATACCACTCATTCTGGACCTTTCCTACACATTTTAAACTTATGTTTTAGTTATCTTACCTCCAAGATTGTAAACTTTGGGGGGGAAGGAATTTATCCCTAACATACTCCATGACATGTAGTGGACATATATTAATCAATTAAAAAAAATAATATGAATTTGAGTTAGGGGCAAGGACTGGAAGATTGTAAACTTTGGGGGCAGGAATTTATTCCTAGTACCTAGCATACTCCATGACATGTAGTGGACATATATTAATCAATAAAAAAAATTAATGTGAATTTGAGATAAGGGCATGGGCTGGATGGTCCCTCAATCCTCTTTCTATTTACGGAATGCAGAGTATGTAGTAACGTTTAGATGGATCACTTCACCTAGTGACAAGAATGGCCTTCCTCCCTTGTCCATATGATAAAGTGGAGTCTCCTCTTTCTACTTTCAGGACAGATCCAGAAGAAAGAATAGAGCTCAAGAAGGAAAAACAGCGGAAGCAATGTAAAGTAACTGAATAAGCTACTCTGGAAACCTCCTATTTCTCCCATGCCAAAGGATCTGGGTTCCATTGGCACACAGAGAGTTCTTACCGGTAAATAGGGTCTTGCATCACCAGCATCTTGCTCTCATCCCAGGTCCACTCCTTTTTCTGCAATAAAAGAAGCTGTAAATGAATAAATTAAGTCGTTATCCTCAGCTACAGAACCAGAGGGCAGGTTAAGACAGAAATGCTTACATCAATATCAGTTTTGCTCTTAGCCCCGATTTCCCTCTGAGGCTTCTTGAGTTAATTGCCCAGGAAGGGAAAGTGTCAAGTGTTAAGTACCTGGCCTAATCACTTTCCTTCTAGCACATCTGGAGATAGACTCTCCAGGATGCTGTGGGCAGGTATGGATGGGGATGCCTCCAGGGACTGCAGGCAGTCTTCAAATCTGGATTAAAGTGGGCTAATCTAAACTATGCACACATGCACGCACATATTCATACATACCTTCACATATATGCATAAATATATATGTGTGCACATATATTGGACTCTGAACAGTGAAGGGTAAGAAATAAATATGGAATGAGAAGGGGAAAAGTGAGAATAGCTTCTGGGGGGCAATGAATAAGGTTCCAGGGAACTTGACGAAGGCCAGTAGTGACTTCCCATTATGAAACAACAACACAAAAAAGCCTGAACTTATGCCATAGTTGAGATAAAAGAACATTGCACGAGTTATATTGTCACATTAACATGCAAACAAATGAAGGTCCTCAGCAAATGAAGGGGGAAAAGGAAAAACAAAAACTCAGGCACATGATCAGAAGAGCTACATAGAGAAGGAACATGAGAAAGTATCATTGCATATGATCATGGTTAAGGACTTTGGAAATCAACCAGTCCAACATATAGCTGAATACGAATACCCCTTAGAACAAATTTAACAAGTAGTCATTCTTCTTTTGGGGGGGGGAGACAATCAGGATTAAGTGACTTGCCCAGGGTCACACAACTACTAAGTCTGAGTCCAGATTTGAACTCAGGTCCTCCTGACTCCAGGGCTAATACTGTATCCGCTGTGCCACCTCCCTGCTACATCATTTTGTTTTGAAAAATTCCACAGAGGGGGAACCCACTGCCTCCCAGAACGACCCATTTTGCTCCTGGAAAACTTTTAACTTTTAGGGATAGTTTCTTACATTCCCCTGAAATGTTATTCTTGGCATCTCTCATGAATTTTTCCTACTTTTGCCTCTGGGGCTAAGCAAAACAACTTTTATCTCTCTTCTGTATGATGGCCCTTTATTTGCTATTTTTTTTTAAAATCACCAGCTGTGTACCACCACCCCTGCACATAGTAGGTGCTTGTTAAATTGCATTGAACATCCCTGCAGGACCTTCCGTCATTACATGGTGCTTATTTCCTTTTATTCTCAGGGCATCCCAAGAAGACCTGTTCTCTTTCCCATCATAAAACCACATTGAACCCTAGGAGTTGTGCCTACTCTATACACAAACTGACCAAGAAATTTGCCTGATCATTCACAGTGGATACAAAGCACTCTTGCCTCAATTATCTGAAAGTAGGTAGGTTTTTTTTTAAGTCTTGGCTTTACAGGGCTATAAACAGAAAAAGTTCAAAAGTCTCCTACTTTGTAACTTGTTTTAAAACCACTTCTCTCTTCCTCCTCCATTTTTTATCTGCTCTTCCCTCCCCCACCCCTTTTTATGGCAAGGACAAAACAAATTCATTTCCATTTTATCTTCTCTGTCTAGTTCTTCTAAGGAAAAAACAAGAAAAATTTCCAGAAGTAAACTCCCCCCCCTCAAAATGGGTTTTCTTGGAATTGCACCCCCTTCTTGTAGAAGGGGGTTCTAGGGACCATAGGCTTTCGTGATGGGTCTTTAGTTTCCACATAAGACCGAAGGACTCCTAGACATTCAGCTCTATCAAACATTCAGACTGATATCCTTCCAGAAAGGTTGTCTTAGTTCATTTTCTCATAAAAACTTTACCCCCTACAGAGGAATAAAGGGGGATAAATAATTTGAAGCTAGAAAGACCTTAAAGATTCTACATTCCAATCCTCTCATTTCATGGGTAAGGCAAACTGATTTGGGGGCAGGGGAGTGGAGGTGGAGAGAAGAGGAAAGTGACTTACCTAAGGTCACACACATATAAATAGCAGAGTTATCATTTGAACTCTTGTCTTCTGATTCCAAATCAAATATTCCTTCCACTGCACCATGCTACATCTGGTGTCAAATATTTGGAAGGCCACTGAACAGGGAGGCAGCATGATACAGTGATAAGAGGCCTGGCTCTGGAACCAGAGGACTTGAGTTCAAATGCCACGTTCAACACCTACTATCTTTGAAACACACTGACTATAATAGGAGACCACAGCAGTTTTGAAGGATAGATCAGAAACTTAAAATTGTCATTTAGTTCATCTTTCTCATCTTATACATGAGAAAATCAGGGCCCGGAGAGATTAAGGATTGAAGGTCATATAGACAGGAAGTAGGAAAGCTAGGAGTTTCTTGTACAAAGGTCACATCCTTGACTCTCTCTTAACAGTTTGGCCACAACTGGGCCAAGGAATAGTTGTTAGAATCTAATGGGCAAAGGAGAGCTCGGAAATTGGGGAAGTGATGCTATAATCGGTTTTCTTATTTTTTTTCTAGGAGATCATAGAGTCTTCAAGCTAGACAGGACCTGAGAGGTCTTTTATTCTAACCTTCTGCCTGATAAGAGGAATCCTTGTTACATTACAATAACCCTGGACAGATAATTATTTAGCTGCTGCTAGATGGTTCTGTTGGGAAACTCAGGACCTCCTCAGGTTCCATGTCCTGAAAGCTCTCATCATTAGAAAATTCTTCTCTATACTCTGCCAAAATCTGACTCTCCATAACTTAGCACCAGATGGAAATGCTAGTAGAATCGCTGAAATCTCTATGGCATTTTTATTTTTTACAGCACCCTAAATATAAAGGAAAATCCTATGCAGGCACACTTCCCTCTCCCTCTTGGAAAATGTCAGCAATTCTGCCATCAAGTACGGGTGCTTTATCATTCAGTATGCCTGACAGCAGTGGGGACTTCTGAAAAAATCAGAGTGAGGCCATATTAATATAGCTTGACAAGATCTCCATGCTTCATGGCAGATGAGGATTAAGTAAAGTACATCAGAACTAGACTAAAAGTGATGGCAATACAAGACAAAGCTATCTCCTTCCCTCAGGCAACAGACAAGGGGATGCAAAATATCTTTCAAGACAGAACAGCTGAGACTCCCGGCATGGCCCACCTCAATACAAATGAGTGTGGTTTAAAACTAACTAGCTTGTAGGGAAAAGAAGAAGAAGAAGAAGAAGAAGAAGAAGAAGAAGAAGAAGAAGAAGAAGAAGAAGAAGAAGAAGAAGAAGAAGAAGAAGAAGAAGAAGAAGAAGAAGAAGGCGGCAAGTAGGCACCCTTCCCCTGGGAAATGGAGGAACAAATTTTGGTATATGGGTGTAAGGGAATCCTATTGCGCTATGAAAAATGGCAAGTGCGAGGAATTCAGAGAAACATGGTTATACAAAATGGTGTGAGCAAAGGGAAGAGAATGAAAACAATAAGAATATCAAATGAGAAGGTGTAGGTAAAGCGCTTTGTAAACCTTAATGCACTATGTAAATGGCAGCAATCATTATTACTAACATAAATAGTCATGGAAATAACACTATGAAATCACTGAACTCAGATCAGTATTGGTCCTAGAGAAGAGATGTGGAGACACATCCCTCCTCTTGGGAGAGAGCTGGGTTGTTATGGGAGCCCAGTGCTACATGTGCTGTCAAATGGGGTCATTTTGTTGCATGGTTTGGTTTAGCTGCTTTTCTTTGTTACGTGAACAGGCACATGAGGAAACATCTCAGGTACAGAAAATAAAAAGCCTCAATAAAACTTTATAAAAAAATTTGAAAACCACCCAAACTAAAAATAAGCCCAGTAGATGGTATAGCTTACCATTGGTAACTAATCTCTTTGACCTTTAACTCTCATCTGTAAAATCAGAGGAATGAGGTGTTGTCAAAAATAATTTTCAACTCTACAATTTGAGGTCCCAGTTCCATCATTTTTAGGTCCCTCTGTCCTTCCTTAATCTGACCCATGTCTGTGCTGTGCAGGAGGCACACTAGACAGAGTGTGGGAGATAGAGTCAGGAAGGCCTGAGCTCAAATCTGGCTTCAGATACTGCCTACTTGTGTGACAGTGGTCATTTAACATCTGCCTGATTTCCTCATCTGTAAAATGGGGATAATAACAGCACCTATCTCCCATGGTGTTTAGAAGGATAAAATGAGATAATATTTGTAAAGCACTTTGCAAACCTCTAAGCACTATATAAATGCTAGCTATAATTATTATTATTATTATTGACACTGGAATCTCCATGGATTTGTCCTCTCATCTCTGTAATATCTCCAGACACACAGAGTGCCACCCATCCCTGCCTGCCCATACTGTGCATATGCCATCCGTATTCTGTCATCAAACCTCCCCAAGGTCTGATCCAGGGTTCAGCACAGCACCTGGCACATACTAAGTGCTTCATAAATGTTTATTGATTGACGGACTGATTGACCCAACACGCCGAGGCACTTTCTTCAGCTCTCTTGACATTATATCAATACCAATAGAGCAGTCAGGCTGTTCATAGGTTATCCCTCAATCTCCCTAAATGATGGGACCATCTTTTATTTCCCGGTCACACATCTCTCTCATGACCATGTTCTTCTCCATGATATTTTTTTGGTTGGAAATATGTTACAGTTTGCTCCTGCTCACCATGTCCTTTTCCATTTGTCCTCTGGAGACAGTGGTAATTCCATTAATCACAGGCATATGACACATTGAAAGAACATGGCTTAAAAGATGGAACTCTGTTATAACAAAATGGTTGTGGCCATTAGAAGTATTGCTTCCCAGGATCACATGCAACACTTTATTCTTCTCTTAAGTTCTTGTCATATTCAATAAGCATTTCAGATGCTGTGCTTGGCCCTGAGATATGGAGGTAGGGAGAGCTGGGAACTCCAAAAGGTGGAGGTGACAAGGGAGGGCTTGTTTAACGTGGTACATTGACCAGATCAGAGTGGCTGAAACAGAGAGCATGAGGAAGTAACAT